CGTTTTATTTCTTATATTCCTAACAAAAAACGAAACACCAATAGCATTCAATTTGAACACAATGGTCAAAAAGTCCTTATTAGAGAGAAAAAAGAAATTTGCTAATGGTTTTAATAAATATTTTTTGTGAAAAGTGTTGAAGATATTATTTTTGGCATAGAAGATGTTTACCTGGTTCATTGATTACAATGATGAAGATAATTTAGGGACTTTAAAATATTAAATACAATATAATATAATTAAAAAATAAATTATGATAAAAAAATACTAAACATCAGGTAGGTATATACTAAAAAAAAAGTTGATGGGCCCAAAAAACCTAAACGTCGTACTGAAATTATGCCATATTAGAGTAAAAAAGTGCGCACAAAGAAGTGTTTTTGGTTTTTTGATATATCCATAAACAGCATTATAAAATTATAAAAAACAGCATTTTTGAGATTTTTCAAAATGTCTCAAAAAGTAGTAAATATTTAAAAATTTTGAAGGTGAATCTCTCGTTTAACTAACCCTATAACTCCTATAATTACTGAGGTTCCAATTCCAAAAGATTCATAGATGTGGTCCATTCAAGAGCAGACAAAATCAACTGCTAAACCTTAGCAGAAGCGAACTCAAGGCCGTAATAGGACTCCTTACGGGACACTGCGGCCTTAGAAGACACCTAAATCTCTTAGGGATGTCTGTTGACTCCCTATGTAGAATATGTAAAGAGGAGGACGAAACTCCTATTCACATACTATGCCACTTTCGGAACCTTAAATGGGAACGGGAATGGTACTTCGGATTACAATATCCGGAACCTGAAGAAATCGCGAAAGCGCCCATCAGACATATTCTTGAATTCATCAAGAAAATCAATTTGATGGGGTAGAAAATGTGAGGGGTACAATAAGCCTAGAGCTTCAGTACGAGTGGGCTTCGAACCACGCCCTAATTCAGATAGAGAGAGGTTCCAATAAATCATGCTAACATTTGGGATATCCGGTATATTTACAAAATGTTACATAATCTTTCGCCATCATATTTTATCAAATTTGTTATTTTTAATAATCAAATTCAACAATATAACAATAAGAAACAAATTGTATATAAATAATAATCAAACTAAAACATTTAATACTAAAACATTAATTTTTAAAGGATTCATTAATATAACAGTCTACCTGGAAAGGTTCTAAAAGTCTTATTTTGTTTTATTAAAGAATTTGTTATAATAATAGTTTTTATTTGAAAGTAGAGTACAACCTAATATACAAAAAAAAATATACAATAATCAAATTTATACAAAAAAAAAAAATGTTTACAAAAAACAATACAAACTATAAAGGGACATCCATTAATTACGTGAGGTGTTCAAGGGGAGAGAGGATCAAGATAAATCTTTCTAAATCTCACTTGGGGGAGAGGGGGTCTTTGTAAATCTGACGTAATTTTTTTTTAGTAGAAAACGGTGTAAAATTGCGTGAAAGTAAAGTTAAATTAAAGAATGTTTCTAGAAATTTTATATTAGGGCAATATTCTCAAACAGTCTTTGGCTAGTCCTAAATAAAAGTAATATAACATATTGTGTTTTTGTTTTTTTTTTTTAATAATTCAATGCATTTACAACCAAAACACAAATTTTTAAAAATCTCATGTGAGATTATGGGAGGGGGAGGGAGTTAAGGAAAATATCACGAAATCTCACCATGGAGGAGAGGGGGTCAAAAAATCCTCAAAAATACCTCACGTAATTAATGGAAACAATTGAAATTAACCAGTTTCATAACAATATAACCTATATTTTTTTAAATGAGTTGTTTTAAATTGGAGTCTTAGAACCCTTTATATAACGTGTAATAATCAATAAAGCCAAAGCCCTTAAGAGTTAATGCCTTAATAAAATTAAGATGATACCAAATTATGATTTTGAATTGTTTGTATTTATGTGTAATTTTAATAATTTAGTATCGATAAACAATGTATTTAATATTTTTTGCTTTGTCTTTATTTATATTAATATTTTTTGTATATTAGAAATTAGGATGTATCTTATTTTAATAAAGCTAACGGTTAAGATAGTGAAAAATATATTCCCGATTGGTAACGTCATAAGACGAGCAGTTCAAAATAAAAATTGACCTATTAAAATACAGAAAAATATCGAATTTATTCCAACCTATATGTCCTCACTGTTTATATACATGAACCTTAGATAAAAGAGACCAGAGATATAACATACACCGTTGTTTAACCTGCGCAAATGTTGCCAATTTCTAAAGAAAGGTTAACGGAGTGGAAGAACTGGGCAGAGACCCAAACTCTGTAACAGAGACCGGACTTTGTTTATTAGCATCATAATGAACTATTAGATTTATTTAAAATATATGTTTAATGGAATTTTGTATTATGAAATAAAATTAACGTGATTTTTTAATATCAAACAGATGCCACGACATTTTATGTAAAGAGATCTTTTATAAAATATTTCGTTAGCGTTTATTTACTACGGACTTTTCAGCAAGATACTACAGTAAAATGTTAAAATACAATATTGTTAATAGAGCAAGAAATGGTACTCATTGTATACGAGTATTATAAAAAAAAAATGTGCGCAGGCGAATACTGCAAATCAAACCTTGTAAGTTGAACATTATATTTTTTCTACGGTTATTACATAATATTAAAAATTAGTTAAAATGAGAAACTGCTTTTTTGTATTGTGACCTCAGCTTCTTTCTCTAGTAATATTGATTAATATAGAGGATAAGTCACATAAAACTCTGAAACCAGATATTTTAAAATTTAAACCTATTAAAAGTCATTTAGTCGCTAGGGGTGGGTGATTGTCGAAATAAATTATCGATTATTGAAAATAATCGATTATTTTCAAACAATCTATTTTTTGTCGTATTTTATTTAAAATCGACTACTTGATTATCTTTGAAAAATCAAAAATAATCGATTAATTAAAAAGCCAATTAACCGATAAATCAGTGTTTACAAAAAATAATAAACGAATTATCGTTTATTTTAAATAATCGACTATTATTAAATAATCTATTTTTCTCCGTATTTCCTTTGAAACAAATTATTCGATAATCTTTGAAAAATCGAAAATAATCGATTAATTAAAAATTCGATTAGCTGATAAATCGATTTTCAAAAAAAAACGAATTATCGATTATTTTAAATAATCGATTTTTTTCGATCAATCGATTATTATCAATAATTTATTTTTATTGTATTTCCTTTAAAATAGATAATTCGATTATCTTTGAAATGCCGAAAATAATCGATTATTCCAAAATAATCGCTTAATCGAAAATAACCAATTAATTAAGAAGCCGATTCTATGATAAATCTATTTTCCAAAAAATAACCGAATTATCGATTATTTTCTAATAATCCTTTTCATAGTTCCTTTAAAATTGATTATTCTATTATCTTTGAAAATCTAAAATAATCGATAAATCGAAAATAATCGATTATAAAAAGCTGATTAACCGATAATTCTAAAAAATAACCGAAATATCGGTTATATAAAATAACCGATTATATTCGATCAATCGATTATTTTCATATAATACCTTTGAAAAATCGAAAATAATTGATTTAAAAAATCGATTATTTTCAATCAATCGATTATTTTGAATAAATCTATTTTCTTTTTGTATTTCCTTTAAAATCGATTATTACATTATCTTAAAAAACAAAAATAATTTATTAAAAAAACGGATAAATTGATTTTCATAAAAAATATCAGAATAATTGATAAATCGATTATTTTCGTAATCCCTATCGGTCGCTTGTTTTTATCCGAGCATTTAGCTCCAAAATTTAGAGATTCGGATTTTTTGATCCCCTTATCTTTGAAACCGCATTCGATTGTATAATAAATATTGCTAGAATTTGGATTTTGCAAATGAAAATTTTGTTCCGAGTTGTTTAGGGGTTTATAATGTAACATTTTATTAAAAAAATTTTTGCTTATACTAGATCATATTGTGCGTTTTACTTTGTTTTAAGACTTAAGAATCAAATGTCACTTTCGATTTGACCACAAATAAGATGAACCTTGAAATTTTAAGTAGGTCATCCTGTATTTCATCTAATATTCTTATAAAAATACTAGGGGTGTGCGAATAGCGTTCGAATTATTCGAAAAATTCGAATTATTCGAAAAATTCGAATTATTCGAAAAATTCGAATTATTCGAAAATTTTCGAATTCGTTATTTTTCGAATTATTCGTTATTTGTTTATGAAGTACTTAAAATGTTTAGCATGACAAATCAGAGGTTTGAACATCTCAAAATTCGAAAATTATTCAAAAAATTGACGAATAGTTGGAAAATTTTGAAATTATTCGTCCATTCACGGATCATTCGTGAATTTTTAAATTATTCAAATAATTTGCAAATTCGAATTATTCGATTCAAATAATATTCGATTCGATACGAATAATTCGTAAATTCCAATTATTCGCACACCCCTAAAAAATATCTTATAAAAATAAAATTTAGCTAGCAACTATGCTTCTTACCTTCTTATTTATCTACCAAAAAAGGCTAAAAATCACCTTTAATAAATATTCTTATAAAACTACTTTTTAAAAACAAAATTTGGTTAGCAACAATGCCTATTTACTTCATATTTAAATTAAATGGCATGGTATGTCGGCTTACCCTCTGACTTTTTTTTTTTGGTTGTTTTACACTCTTCCGATGTTGGTTCGTATCGATATTTTGGATCCGATACTCTTTTCGATACCGATATCGATACTTTACTGATATCGCAACATCTCTAAGTACGATGTAAATATCCACACAATCCTAGGTCGTTAATGATACACATCTGTCTCGCTGCTTTGGTATACTTGCTTGACTGGAATCGACTCAAGTCAAGTTTAACAAATCAGCTTTACATAGCCGAACGTGACGTTTCGGTCTCATTCACAACCCAGAAAAAAAGTTATGCAAGGCGCGCAAAAAGAAATTAATAAATCGTTCCACTTACCACTTCTTCTTCCTGCTCCTGCTTTTCGAACATATTACCGTCGTCATCGAACATAAAATGCTTCGCTTTCTTGGCCTCCGTCCGGATTTTCAAGTGCCTGTTCTGCTGCCTGATGTGTTTCATCTTGTAGCTTACGTCGCCCGAAAACGATTCGCCTGCTAGTTCTTGAAACTCCAAGCCGATTAAGTTGAACGCCGACTTGATCCTGTTCCTGCCCGAATTGAAGTCCGACTTCGAAGTTGAGCTGTGAACAATGTCGCACGGTATTGTATTGAATCGTTATTTTTTTCGACTGCTCTTACCTTTGATCGCGTGTATTCGTCGCTTCCTGGAACGTCATCGACGTATTGGGCGAGGAGGAAACCCCGAACGCGACCGGGAGTCCCATGGCGATCATTTCCTTGTAAATGGTATTTTCCTCTTTGCTCTCCTCGTCGCTGGATGTGTCGCATTGCGACACGTTCGGTTCGTCCGTGTCCAAGGATTTTGATTCCGACATAGACCGTTTCGCGTCCCTGCTATCGGGAATCCCCGGTTCTAAAGTTATATCGCTGTTACTCATCTCGCTGGTCTTGTAATCTGAAATCGAATTGTGAGAATCTATTTTTAATGAGTATTTATGCCCGTTTTAAGCCGCAAAGATGGGCGACAATGGTAAAGATCCTTAAAATGACAGACCAAAACATACCTGAGGCTACGACGCCGATCACGGACTGGATAAACTTGTTGTATTGCTCCAAATACTGGTCTTCGTAGTGTTTCTTCCACAGCACGTTCCACTGGTGCTGATAGTCCTCTTCGGACTCCTCCGAGCTAACAGAACTGTTCACCGAACTGACGGAAGAGAAGCTTTCTGAGCTGGGCGTGCTGTTGCTCAAGTCCAACGAGGAAACGGTCATACGGGTTACGTTAGTTATGGAATCGATGGTTTTTAAGGAACTGCTGGTTCGGGAACAACATCTACAACACAATTGGTCACATTTTCACATTTGTATGACGATTAAAGTAACATAGGCGCAAACTTTAACAAACCATCAATCGATACATCCAAAACCCACTGTCCAACAAAAAAAAAACCAAAAGTCATATATAGAAGTAGGTCTGCTAAAGTCAAAAGTACAAACAAAGAGTTTAAAGATAAAAATGAATTGAAAGTAGAGACCGCAGAAGAGAAAACCGGTTGTTCGGATAAGTACATTTAATTTATTTTGTTAATGTTTTGGGTAAGGTGAAATAATTTGATTTACCGATTTCATTATTTTTATGTGTAAAATCGTCTTAACATCTATAGCAAGGTTTCAAGTAAAAAGTGGCGATAGATTTAGTCTTTCGTGAGTATTTGAATGCTAAAGTTCACCGTTGTATTGGTAGTGAAATTTTTAATACAAGTTATATTTCGTTAACTTGCTTTGGAAATCATTGTGAGGTCTTAACACTTTCACATTGTTCTTCCTTCCACTCACTGTTGTGTTGCGCCTTGAAGATAACAGAATGTCAGCATCTTCAGCAAGGGGTCCATTTCCACCGCCGACAACCATTGGAGAAGACAAGCATCAGTTTGTAACAAGTTAGTTAAAACAAGAAGCGAAACTGAATGAGTTTTCGTATGTACCAAAGTGTGGGAACTTAATACACTGGGAAACGTATGAAAATTAATTAATTTTTGTCGTTTGGTTCATAAGACATACTAAAGTCATAATGACAGAAAATTCTTACTATGTTCATTGTGTAAAATAGATTATTTTAATAACGAAATAAGTATATACAATAATGATAGTCACTACACAAATAGCGTAAGCAGATCATAATTATGGAACAGTGTTGCAATCTGCCAACCTCAAGAAGGAAGAAATGGTCCTTTTCACAAGGAAAAGGATGAAAATGGAATGGAAACCTCCAGAGCTCCTAAATACAAAACAAAACTTCGCAACAGAGGTGAACTACCTAAATAGCACCTTTAACAACAAGTTAACATGGAACTAACACTTAGAAAACATAGTCAGAAGAGCATAAATTGCATATAAAAAATTCAGCCGAACCGTGAAGCGCACCTGGGGTTTCTTCCCCAGAGTCGTCACATGTTACAAATCAAGAAGTACTGTAGGTAGCTGTAAATGCTTTTCGATTGCATCCTTATAGCAGCGACTTGGTTCCTAAGATTTGTAGACTGGTTAAATAAATGGAAAAAGCTAATAAATATTCCGCCTAGCCAAACCCTTATAATTACCTGGAAGTTAATAATCTTTCGGCTTCAGTCTCATCGTCAGCGCTAAACGGCGACAGGGGATTCCAGCCCTCCGATATTTCCGCCGAGATCTTCTCGTCGCTTCCAGACAGTGTGCGCAGCAATTGGATCCTTTCTTTTTTCGTGGGCTCCTTTTCTAATTGTTTAAGACAGGCTTGTTGGAGGTCGGTATTGAACGTTTGCAATTCCTTTTCGTTGAACGTGAACTTCTTGGGATTGCAAATGAACGGGTCGTCGTTACATTTATCTAAAATAAGCAAATTGAATAATAAATAATTATCAGTACATGCTGAACAGAATAGAAATTGCTACCTAACAGACTGTATTCATCCACGACTTTCTTTTGAACGTAAGGCATATAATCGGGATTGATATAGTGGCTGTATTTGTCGATCCAGCTCTCCCATATGAGCTTCTCGCCGTTCAATGACCAAAACTTGTTCCAATCGGAATCGATATCGTGAATCAACTGCTCGGTAAGATCCGTGCCGCTGTCGCTTTGTTGGAGGCCCCTGGGCGGTGCGTTGTGGGCTTCCCGTAGGCTTTCGTGCTCGTCGGTCGATAGATTGTCAGTGTGCGAAGCGCTGCAATAGCAACTCACGCCCTCTTGTTCGATCTAAAACAAGAACAACCTTGTCTAAACTAACTTCTTATTTTTTTAAAAGCAAAACTTTACAAAGTTCAATGAAGCTTTGGATAATACTTAGATTGAGGAAATTAATAATCATAAAAAAAGAAAAAGAATAAGATTTTTTTTACTTACTTCTTCTGATTTGGCATTTACGTTTTGTATGGTCAAAGTTTCGTAAATTGTGCTCAGATCCTCTTCAATTTGATTATCCTCTTCGGATGCGCTCTGTTCGGATGAGAAAAACTGCTTTGAGGATATTTTTGTTCTGAAATACGTAATTATATTACAGTCATCTTAAAGCAGTTTATTGTTTTTTTTTTTTTAATTATTGCATTTATGAACACAAAATATTGTTACGTTAGGTACGATACTTTACTTCAAAGTCTCGCAAAGACGAAAACGGTTGCAAAAATGTAAGAAAATTACTGAAAAATTGTCCGACAATTTCGAATTAACAAACGTATAGATCCTTTATCCTTTTTTTTGCAATTCTGGCAATACAATTTGTATAAATGGAACGATATTTTTAGAAGTGGCGTAGCTCAGTGCTACACTTTCAATGCAAAGGAAAAGATCTAAAGATAAGAAACGCGCATTAAGAAGCACATGCTTAACAACAACCAGCTCGAACGCAGTTAACATCTGACCCACTATGTGGTGCTTTCATCGATATCAAACAAATAACGCAGCGGGAAATTTAAAAACCTGATAATAAAGGTTGTAAAATATAGGCACTTTCATGTTCTGGTAAAAATAAATTTAAACAATGTTAATTACGGTAAATTATTTATTAAAAAGAATACTACACTTACAATAATTAATTAGTGTAAATCTATTCATAACAAATAGCACATATTGAAAATATTTCTCTATTTCTGTATCCTACAACTCAAACAGAAATACAAACCATTATTAACAGAGTAACAAAGAAATATACTCCAGGTATTGATGAAATTGATGGAAGAACGTTAAAAGCAGCAAGTGACATAATTTGTGCACCACTGTCATATATAATTGATCATTCCTTTATCACAGGGAAATATCCTGAAAATCCAAAGACGTCTAAGTCGGTGCCTATTTTTAAAAATAAAGGGTCAAAGCAGAAGGTAAGTAATTATAGAAATGTATGTTTGCAGTCCCAGTTTGTAAAAGTTATCGATTATGCCTATTATGTAAGGCTTAATAATTTTACCTCACAGCACAAGTTAATTACCTACCAGTTGCCAACACGGCTTTAGACAGAAAAAATCAACATCAACAGCAATATATGAACTTTGTAACTCCATAATTGACAATCTGAATGGGAAGCAGTGCCCAGTTGCCATATTTTATGACCTAACTAGGGCATTTGATACAGTCAATCATGACCTACTCATTGAGAAGCTCTTTAGAATGGGAGTCAGAGGAGTGGCTAGCGACCGGATTTCTAGTTATTTAAGCAGCAGACGTCAAATAGTCAGTATAGTTTCAATAAAATCACAGCCCAAAGATATTAACATGGGAGTACCACAGGGCTCGACACTAGCCCCGCTATTATTTATTATTTTTGTCAGTGACCTCACACAATCATGTAAAAAAGTCAAAAAAACAGTAATGCAGACGATACGAGTCACATAGTGGCTGAGCATAAACTTGCTTTATCAGCTGAGTATGCAAACGCCACTTTAGAAGAATTTTCGGACTGGTGCTCAGATAATGGGCTACTAATTAACATAACAAAAACAGTATTTATGATCTTTCAACAAAAATACGTGTGGAACTCGGGGACTGCCGCGGTAAAGCTATTGCATAGTATTTTTTATCAACTTATGCAATTATAATTATTTATTTTATTTATGCAGTATTTTTTTTTCTTTGATATTAATTCAAGTTTTTTCTTTGATATTCAAGTTACACTTTTTGAGCGTAGTGGCCGATAAGAAAACAAATTTTTTTCTTTTATTTAATAAATGAGAAGTTAATATTGTTTAAAAAAATTTTATTATCTTACAATACATGTAGGTTATTCAGGAATTTTTATCATTGAAACAGGTTTATGGTAACTGAAATAAGAAACATAAGTTTGAAACTTGATATCCTCTAATCATCTGGAAAATACCGCGTCAATGGTGGTCCCATATTTTGTTGTGGATTCTTGTGGATCATTATTCATTTTCAAATTCAAGTTTTCCGAAATTGTGTCTAAAAGAGATAGAATCAGTTATGAGCAGTTAGCAGCTAGTCTACACGCATACGTTTAGTCGCACGCACACAAACACCGTGCCGAAGTCTGCCGAACTGAAACGACGTTAGAAGATGCACGGCTTTCAACGCCGCACCGCTGTGCTGGTCGGAGTGGGGGTGTTAGGTTTATTTTCTTTACGGAATTTCTTTTTCGATTTTCTTTTATTGAATAAATGAGTTAATATTGTTTAACGCCGCACCGCTGTGCCGGTCGGAGCGGGGGGTGTTAGGTTTTTTTCGTTACGGTTTCGTTTTTTTTTTTTTTTGATTCGGTCACCGCGTTCAAAGCCCGCGATAAAAGCTATGCAATAGCTTAAAAACATCAGTTATGACTTCTGCCCATTAATTAGGCTTGATCATAGAACGATAGAACAGGTGACAAACTATAAATATCTAGGGGTGACCCTAGACCAGAAGCTTACATGGGAAGAACATATTGACAAGGTAGTCTCAAGGATGAGCAGTGTTTGTTTTATCTTTAGACAACTTCACAATACAACTTTTCTGAATGTATTAAAGTTAGCCTATTTTGGGCTGGTACAGTCATTATCAACCTACGGACTAACTTTTTGGGGAAACGCTTCACATACTGTGAAAGTATTTATAACTCAGAAGAAAATAGTGAGATGTATAACTGGTTCCCACTATAGGGCATCTTGCAAGAATTTGTTTAAATCTTTGGAAATATTAACATTGCCATGTCTCTATATATATTTGACCACATTAAACATTAAGAAAAATGAATCTCAATATATTCGAAATAACATGATTCACGAACACAATACACGGAAAGGCAATGACTTAAGACTGTCATATTCCCGGCTGACCATTGGGCAGGGTTCTGTGGATTATCAGGGCATCATCTATTTTAATCATATAACTAGGATTTTGGGTAATAGTTATAATGTTTTTAAAACCAAACTTTTTAAATATTTAGCTGAAAATGCGTTTTATTCTGTAGAAGAATTCCTGCAGATTTCTTAATCATTTTAATTTAATTTTAGATTTATATATAAATATTTTTTATTCTTATTATAGTAATTTTAGATATATGTTGTAAATGGAAGTGCTATATATTGTATTGTTCTATTTCTTTTTTTTTTGACAAGTCTCATAAATGTACATTTTGTTGTGTATTGAAACATATGTATCTGTACATTTGATAGATGAATAAAGGATTGATTTATTTATTTTTTAATTTTTGATTATTTGTAACTTTCATATTTTTGTTCTTACTTTCCAAACGAGTCGCCAATGGTGTCTCATTTTTAAAAATTGTTGCTGCTGCAATCTTTGCGTTTCCTATCTTTATGACCCTAATTGTCATGCAATTATATTAAATGCGCGGGATACGGCCTAAATGCAATCAAGCGGTTTAGGTTTGTATCCAATTTTACTGTCTGTCGAAGTAAAAAAAAACTTGGAATTATTATTATAGGTATCACTAATAATTTAAAATACACATCGACAACTACAAAAAATTCAAAATATACTATCAGTGAATTTAAAACGACACTACCCTTTTTATTTTGTTACAATACCACTCAATGCATTGTCCAGAATTGTTAAAAAAAGAACAGACACCTAATTATTTTTCTATTTCACTCTTACTTAAAATACACACAGAGATGCAACTAAGAGGAAAATAAAAGTAGACAATTGGCAACAAAATTTAATTTTCTGAATTTATTGGTACACGTCACGGGACATACAATTTTCAATTTTAACAATTATTTCTTCGGCTTTCAGTGATATCTGAACGGAAAAATTTTGCTAAAGTACTTTATAAGTGGTAAAGTTTAAAATGGAGTTATAAAAAAAATTGACTGTTATAGTCCAACAAAGGACTTATTGTAAAAACATGAAAAGCCACACTTTTTAAAATAAAGGCAGTTTTAGAAGTTTATTTTAACCTTTGAAGACCTATTTCCTCAATAAATCAATGTTGTGACTTGTCATGTTATTCCAATAAGCCCTTCAATTATGTTTGTAAATATGTACTCGTATTTATCAAGAAGAAAATGTTATAAGTGCTAAAATATTACATTCAATATTTAAAATCACAGTAAGAAATTAAAAAAAAAAGATAAAGTTCAATTGTAATTTTATATTACATTCCTTCTGGGACTACATAATTATCACTTTCAAAAAGCCTTCAATAAAACAGATTATACAGTGTCACCCAGTGGCGCATAGTAATTTTAAGACTTTATTTTTGATAATAATACATTTTAGTACCTATAACAAGTATTTAATTTTAAAAAATTGTGCAGATGCCATCACCAAATGTATATGGGACCACCCCGGAGGTACCCCCTTACTAACAAAAAAGAATCATAGAAATCTGACAAGGTGGTAAAGAATTATCACTAAACATGCATAAAAAAATAAGAGTTTGAGGATTTTCTCATGGACCACTTATTAGATTTTGACCAAATGTATATGGGCTTACCCCTGAAGTATCCCCTTTTTAACAATCATTCAAGAATCATTGAAATCGGACACTGTGTTAAAGAATTATCACTGATCATACATAAAAAAAATATATGTACTCCAACGAAGTCAGTTAAAAAATTCTTGGGGGAAGGGTAAATACCCCCAAGGGGAAAATTTAAAATGTCAAATGACAAAACTTATATCTCATGAATTAAATTACCAAAAGTACTTTTTAAGCAACAAAACTGAAACAAAATGTAATAAAAAACTATTTTTTAATAAATCATAGTACAAAAAAAGAACAGAACATAAAAATAAATTAATTCTTAATCCTAATCTTCCTGGTTTCTTCAATTTCTGAAGCTTTCTTCCACGCCGATTCGCCCAAAGTCTTTTTACCCTCAGATATCGAAACCAATCGCGCCAGAATCAACATGCCATGCAAGTCATCGATTGTTGCATTCTTATCTTGCCTCATTTTAACGAATTCATCTTGGATAAATGTCTCGATCTCCTCAGAGAGACTGTAATCAATAAGTCTCACTGAAGTGAGATACTTTCTTATGTTGTTCAGTAAATCAGGCTTCAAAAAGTGATCAGCAGCTTCGACAATTTCTTTGAAATTGTTCAGACACATCTCATCCGGTTGCAGTACGACATGCACGTCTGAAGGGATCATGCTTTTACCCTCGGACAATATGAGAAAGGGAATATCACAATCGAACTCTAATGGGTAAAATTTGAAATCATAATGCAGGGATTGATGTTTGATGCAGCTGGATAGGGCTTTAATGTTACTTAAACCAGCCTCGTTTAGCTTCCCAGGGCTCAATTTAGTTTCATCTAACACAACATGAGTGTTGTTACTCAACTGCAACACCCCAGATGATAAGTAGTTTAATTCATAATTTTTTTTGGGTACAAAAGTTAAATCATTGAGATTCTCCAAGGTCATTGGTAGATAAATACTTTTTGGAAGTAGTTTTTCTATAAATTTATATAACCCAATTGGATATGAGGGTAGAGAGGGAATGTTAGAAATGTTTAATGAGAATTTTCCCAGTGCTAAACCATCTCTACGTAAATATACCTGTGATATTAGATGATATAATAAATATTCTGCTGCCAATTCATCACCAAGGAGTAATTGAGTCAAAACAACCAACAAATCTTTCCTAAGCACATCAATATTTTCAATCTTAGTGTCCTCTTCTAATAAAGGGTTATTATGCTTCATTTTTTTGTAATTTACACAGTGTATTCTAGGATATAATGAAGCAGGAGCATTTAGGGCATCTGTGTCCATTTGAGCATCACAAACTTCAGGAATTAAAGTAGGAAAAGTATCCAAAAATCCAACAAATTCGCAAACATCGTTAATTTTCAATTTATCTTGATTAGTGTATAATTTTATATGAAAAACTTGTTCGCCTTCTTTTGGAAATGGAAAAATATCTTTGGGATTACTTGATGTAGATTTAGTGTATGGTGCTTTCGATACTTCACTACAAACTTTCTTTTCTACATTGGAAGGTCCAGCTTCCACATCCATCGTTTCTTCATAAGCTCTCTTGTTACTACTAAATTCAGTTTGCATATTTTTTGTAACGTCTAATCTAAATTTACCGTCCAACGTGTGTACCCAACTATTTATAGCCGGAACTGATATAACCACAAACGTCTGCCGTTCGGAAGTAATGTTTGAAGAATTTTCAAAATTAACGTATTCATTATCCTCTACAGTAATGTTTTCGTTATATTTGCCGGTTACGTACGTACTTTGCTTTGTAATCTTATTTATTACTTCAAACTTTTCCAAATAATATTCAGGAGAATCCATATCTTGAACCATACCGTAAAATTTGACTAAAGATAGATTTTTAAAATGTTCAGTTTTGTTTACATTTAAAAAAGGTATTTTATCACGGATATTTTGGTCTTCCAATAGCTTCGTATACGCTTCTTCATTTTCAATCCATTGTCTCGGTGTTAAAGTTTCAATATCCATGTTATTTATTAATAATAATTGATCTTGAAATTGTTATATCAAGGAAATGATAAACGATGCTTTTTCGCGCCTCCTAATATTTGACATTTTTGACAATTTCAATCTTGGTTATAATTCTTCTTTTTCCCGGTACTGCATGCCTAGTCTTGCTAGACATGCAGTCTAACTCTGTTAGGCCAGATACCCAGAGCAGTTCAGACTAAAAAGTAAATAAGTAGCTTACCGCCTTGATAGAAACTTCAAAGAATTTAAAAAAATACGATAAATTAATTTATTAGCTATTAAATATTTTTTAAAACCAATTTTAATCAAAAAAAGTTACAACTTATATAAATTAACAAGTTTACAATTCGAAATTAGATATATTAAAATTTAGTAATTCGTTTCTAGCTTGAAAATAACCAGTATCAGTCAAATCATAGGGTTCCGGAACAAAAGGGGGCGCGGCAAATAGCAAATTGTTCCAGTCAAATTTACTAAAAGCGTCCATTTTCATCACATCTTCGGCTCCGGCACGCTGTTTTTGATTTTCCTCCAAAAGAGCCTCGATCGCGTGAACAATCTCATCTGACAACTGTTCATCTTCGGTTGGCCACTCGATGTTATGTTCCAAAATGTTTTTGAACACCAACTGCGGCGTAGAATCGTTAAAAGGCGGAATCCCAGTAACGAACTCATAGAGACAACAACCCAAGGCCCACCAGTCAACAGAGTAATCATGGCCTTTGCGCAGTAGCAACTCTGGTGCTAGATAATCAGGGGTACCCAAAATTCTTTGATCCGAACTCCATTGGCCCCTCCGCACGGATTTAGGTGTTCTAAAGGGTGTTCTTGGAGTTTTAGGAGTACTGGCTTCGCTTTGTATGGGACTCATCACTGAATTGGCTTTGATGCTACCGCTGGTGCTGATAGGTTGGGGGAGCAAATCGAATCTTGTTGCTTTTACTTTGGCAGCTTTTTGGGCTGAAACAGGAGTGGAAAAAGTGACACCTTTAGGCGAATCCACTCGCAGCAGCTCTATTTCACCTGTCAGGCCGGTTCTTATATATGTCTTTCTGGTACCTTGAGGTGATGGGGATCTCAATTTCCGTTTTCTATCTCTAAATTCGGTCTTGTACTGGGAACAGTTTGGTAATTTTCTACTAATGGGCGAATTAGTACAAGATACTTCTGATATTTCTCCTTGAGTGCTCTGGCAAGTATGGTAGGACGATTCAGATATTCGTGATGGGGTATTGTAATCTGCAGATAGGTAAGTAATTCCCGATATCACCGAAGAATTATTAATATGCTTATCACTAACTTCAGTGAAAATTGATGAATGATGTTTCCTAGCACTGCCATAATTCGTGTCCGAAAGAGACTCTGTACGATTTCTACTTTTGCACTTGCTGTTGCCCGAACCGAAACTTAAATGTGACGTCAAACTAAGCAACTGTCCTGGAGTTCTCATGCACATATTTGGCGTGCAGTTCTCAAAATCGGATATCTCTAAATCCCTGTGTATGAGCACATTGGACAGCCCAAAATCAGTCAACTTGACATGTCCCTCTTTAGATAGAAGCATGTTATCCGGTTTGATGTCCCTGTGGATTATGTTGTGCTTGTGTAAGTATTGCAGCGCTAGACACACTTCGGCAATGTAAAAGGTTGCCATTGATTCATCGAAGAAGCCGAAAACGCTCAAAAGTGATTTCAAATCTCCTCCTACCATGTACTCCATGACTAGATATACCGAAGATGCGGTTTGTAAGGAGTAAAATAGGTGGACGCAAAAGGGATTGTTGGTGAGGGCCAGAGCGTTTCTTTCATTCATAACTTGTGTTACCATGTTTTTGTTGATCATTTCGGTTTTTTTCATAACTTTAATAGCGTACATTACATCAGTGTTGTTCTTTTTATACCCCAAAAAGACTTTACCGAATGCTCCTCTACTAATTGGTTTTAGAATAACAAAATCGTTTATATCAGGTGGTTTGGCTGAAGCATATTTTTCTAGCCGTTTCGATATAATTTCCGAAGTAGCCATTATTCTAGTAACTTAATTAAACCCCGATATCGATATTTTTGTATAAATTCACATTACTTTCGGCTTAAAATCTACCAAAACCACGGAATATTGTTCAAAACTTTAAAAAATAACGTACTAAAACTTTATCCACAAATTGACAGATGACAGTAAAAGCAAATTTGACTTACCGAATAAATGATCTGCTGCTGATACACGTTACACAAACTGTATTATCTTGATTTTTTAATGTAAATTCAGCAAGAATATCGCTCTGTGTCTCACACATATTCAAAACATCTAATTCAATTCAGCATTTTTTAGTTATTTGGCAAATATCTTCACAGTTGTTTGTCAAACGCCAACCATTTGACGTTTTGGTATATTGACTATTTTACGCGTTGCCAACCAAACAAATATAAATGTTTTCGAATTATATAACTTTTGTTTCCGTTTGAAACAACAAAATTAAAAATAAACGTTAAAACTTGTGAAAAATAAAAAAATGGCCAAGCAAAATCGTTTGTACACTCTTTTTTTATATATATAATTTGTCAACACAGTTTGTCACACTTCGGGAATCTAGAGATGGGCAGTAGTAACGCAGTTACTAATCCGTAAAAATAAAAATGTACTTCGTTTAACATAACGGTGGAATCGGCCCTTATTGTTTCGGATTTGTTACTTGTCCACCCATAAATTCCAGCGCAACACTGTAACTACCTGAAACTCTAGAGCAGTTACAACAGCAGTGAGATTCTCATCTCAAATACAGCATATGCCGAGACGCCTGTCTTCGTTCGACTGACTGCGATTCTTATGTAATGTATCTCTCTATTCAACACGTAACGTGTCGAGTTCGCACATAAGAATCACCGTGCCGATGCTTTGTGGTTACATCCGTCAAACTTTGGAAAACTAATTTCTCAAGATTTTCATGAGATATGTCAATACATGATCGAATGATATGTCATACGTCAATGTGAAAATAGTAATTTTAAAGCTAGTGAGAATTAAAATCGAAATAAATCGAAAAAGTGAGTTCACACTGGCTTTAAAATATGAACTTTAAAAATACTGTTTCTCTCAAGATTTTCATGAGAAATGTCTTGTGAATGTGATACAGCATTACAGCAACGTGTAAACACGGAACTGTTTCTTTCGGTTTATTTAGAGAGAAGACTGCTTGCTTTAAAAATTTTGTTTTCACTTAGACATTACATTTCCCGTGAAAATCCTGAGAGAAATGAGTTTTCTAAAGTTGGAAAATAGATCCTTGCATGTAAAGTTTTCAAATATATTGAGTACTAGCTATTGCCCGCGTGATGTTGTGCTTATAATATCAAAAAATAAATGATTATTAATTTCTATTAATTTTTAATATTTTATAATTTATATTACTTTGTGCTTTTATCGAACACATGACAGTTATGACTGTCATTATTGATGTCATTTTTAGACAAGTAAACTATCAAATAACTAGTGAGTTATGGATTATTATAATGTTTATATTTAAAGTAGTATTCTATTTATTTATTACTGATATTGAAATTAAAGGAAAACGCTGTTTATTCGAATTTGAAGTCATTGTAAAATTCGTTGGTTCATTGGAACCAGACGCTCCCATATCGGTACAGGGGTGCGTTTAGAAACCTCGTACGGCGCGTCTGACCACATACATTAGAATAGGGTCCAGACGCGCCGTACGTGGTTTCTAAACGCACTCCTGCTGCTGATAGGTAGTGCTGGAAGACGCCAACACACTGTCAAGTCATTCTGACATTTATAGGGATACTGAGACGCAAGTAGCTTTGATTTGATCATAAAACTTATTATATCTTATAAAAAAACGATTTCTTCCACTTGTTTGTTGGATAAAACATTGTATGCCACTCGTACCATAAATAACTATTTATTGAATTTTTTTAAATTTTACGATATTCCCCATTTCCCCCTCCTTAAAATGTGAAAATTAAAAAAACGTCATTATTTTCTTATGATGAGTAGCTACAATTCCAAGTTTCTACCTTTAAAAACAGAAAGTCTCATACAACTTTCACCCCTCTACGTTCCCCCCTTAAAATGTAAAAATTCCTCATATAAAAGTTTCTTCTGTTATTCTCTATAATTTTTGTATTATTATTAGTCTAAGATCCGAAATAAGGTCGACCTTCACCCATCTGTTTACCGGATGAAAGTTTTTTTTTAATAAATAAAATATGTTTTTAAATATACCGCAAATGGGTTGCCTAAGAAAATTCGGTCCAGACTATTTATTTTCTTAAAGTAAAAAAAACGACACCCTGTAAAGTATTCCCCAAATGCTTTGACTGTGCCCAAACTTTAATCAGCTCATCGCAGGATAGATTAAAGCTTAAGTTCAAAATTTGGTGTCTTTCTCTTCATCCGTTTTTGAGTTATCTTCAAAATTCGAAATTTGCACTTTTCATCAAATATCTCAAATTAGGTCCATTTTAGGAAAATCATGTATAGAGACAAAATAATAGAGAATGACATCATAAACAACTTTTATCATGATTCATATACTTTCCTTATCTGTACACAGAGAGGAAAGTAAAAAATGGCCGTGACCGTATTTTCTTAGGCAACCCATTTGCGGTATATTTAAAAACATATTTTATTTAATTAAAAAAAAACTTTCATCCAGTAAACAGATGGGTGAAGGTCGACCTTACTTACGGATCCTGGACTATATATTTCTCAAAAATGGACCGTAATGGAAAAATTTGAGGAAAAGTATAAAATTTAACTTTTTGGTATTTTCGTTGGCAATGAATGTATAAAAAAAAATGTTTCGAGTAAGATGTATGTGGAACATGTATACATATATTTAGTTTATCCTCTAAACATTTACAAAGGTGATACAATACCCAGACAACACACCAAATCCCAGAGATATCCACAGAATATATTTTGTGGATATCCAATATATCCACAGGATATCAGAAATATGGATATCCAAATGTCCGTAGATACCTATAAAATATTTTGCTGAATATCCGAATTCTTCTATATCCTGGGATATAGACGGACATTTGGATGGATATCTCTGGGATTTCTTGTATTGTTTGGAAGATACTCATTAGATATTTTGCTGTATATCCATATATCTTCTATATTCTGGATATTTAGTGCATGTCCATGGGATATTGAATACACCTTTAAAAAAATAATTTTAAATATCTGAACGGTACTATTAGCCACAATGGCGTAATTTTTTAATAATTTGCTGTATAATTACTATTATTTATGGACATTTGCATGTCTATAAATTACAGCTCATGGATATAAAATAGATATCCACCATGGACTGGACATTCAGTGGAAATTGGGATGTTCAGTAGATATCCAAAGGAGTTGGTGTGTTGTCTGGGTAGGTTGTACAAAATAACCGGAAAAAGCCATTAATAGATAGGAAAGTCATGTGTTGGACACATCAGCTTTTTCTTACTGGTTGCATGAAAAGAAAAACTGTTTCACAGAAATCCAAAATTCGGAAAAAAATGTCTGTCTATCATTGTTACGTATCATTCCTGGCAAATGGACTATATATACGAGTATACTACATTAGATTAGGAGTTGGACGTTATTTGTCCTTGTCCACCGCGACCTTTTCAGATCTATTGTGGGACTCCCGTTTGTTTTAGAGCAGCCATATTCAACCTTTTTTCATTCGGGCCACATTCGTATGTTTGCTATGTTACACGGGTCACAATATTTCTGGATAATGAATCTTTTTCAGGCCATTCATTTAAAATTGGTTAGTGGGGATCTCTAATAAATAAATCACAGAACGTAAATATATTGATGAGATACTGCAAAAATAAGGTAACTTCACTTTTCGAGTTACACTTTCGTCTACAAAATAGTTCCAATAAAATACAGTATAAACAAGTGGAACGAAGTCTATATCTATGATTAACAGATGGCCAATAAAAACTAACTCACTTTAACATTGTTTTCAATTGCTAATAGTGTGTACAGATAAGAGACATATAACTTATCTTGTTAAATGTATTTAGTGTGACTCCTAATAGTATACGAGTATATTTCTGCCAAAACAAGATTTTAGTTTGTTTTGCATAGAGCCGTCTCTGGCCTTTCTCGATTGTTCCAAAACCGACAAGGTGATTACGTCACCCTTTCTTTCCGCGATACAGCAAATCTTCAAAAACCAATAAAGGGGTGCCTAAAAGGGTGAAAACAACAAAATGACATTGTTAATGTAAATAATGTCATTTTAAACTTCGTTTAACACAACGGTGGAATGGTCCTTATAAATACAAAAAATGCAAGAAAAAAGATTTATTAAAACTTTGTAAATCAGGTGCTACACGTGATGAATTTCACCGTTATTATCACAATCCTACCTGTATCCAATAAAGTTAAAGACACGGTACCTAACTGAATCTTCCATTGAAAATAGTGGCACATACATTGAATATTATGACCTGTAAATAGACAGCTAAAATAAGCTAAGTGACTTTTTTGATCAATCGATGGAAGTTATTTTTGACTTTTTATTCAATTTTAAACTTTTGAAGGGCGTTTTCTCGAAACTCTAAAAATGTGAGTTATCTTATTTTTGCAGTAACCCGGCGTAATATTTAGCGCAGTGACCGATTAATATTTTTGCGCATTCCACTCAAGAGTTAAAATATAGAAACTTTAGTTTTAAAAAGCACCTTCTTAGTAGTATTTTGGGTCGCAAAAAAAGCCTGGAGGGCCGCAGGTTGAGTATGGCTGTTTTAGAGTATGTCGTCTGTAATAGATCATCCTGGATACCGCTATAAGACATCGTATACAGGATGATCTATGCGAAACCATCAATCTTTGAGATAGATTTTAATTTAAAAGAAAATGCAAAAATTATTAAGCTGAAACCTTATCGATATTCAGAAAACAAAAGAACATGGATAAAAAATAAGGTTAATGAGTTGCTTAAAAACAAAATAATTACAAAGTCAATATCTCCTTTTGCTTCTCCATGTGTTTTGAACACAAAATCTAATGGGGATTTTCGCCTGTGTATTGATTATAGGAAAATTAATGAGGAAACTGAATTAGATCCATTCCCATTTCCAATCGGTGATGAAATCATTCAAAAATTCGGTGGATGTAAATTTTTCTCAAAATTTGATCTGAAGGATGGTTTTTGGAATATAAGTATATCTAAATTAACGCAGAAGTATACGGCGTTTGTAACAGAAGATGGGCATTATGAATTCACAAGGCTTCCTTTTGGATGGAAAAACTCAAGTGCACATTTTCAAAGAATAATGCAGGAAGCTTTAGGTGAACTACTCGATAAGAATGTAGTAGTCTTCATCGATGACATAATGTGTGGAGGTTTCACTTAT